TTCTCTGTACCGTTCACTTTCAGATGGGCGCTGTGCCGAGCACTGCCCGCTGGATTATCGGCGACACAAGCATACTCCCCGGCGTGTTCCCCCCTGACAGCGGGAATCGTCAGGGCTGAGACTCTATCCCCCAACGCGGTGATACCCACTCCTTCGCCTATCTCTAAATGGCGGCCCTCGAACAACCACTTGAGTGAAATCGGCGTGTCCCCTTTCACGACCGCGCAATGGACGATTATCAGATCGCCGGAGTTGGCCTCGTCGAACGCGAACGGCTGCAGATGTGGAGCGACTGCCGGGAGATAGAGAACGAATAGAAACTAGAGACAACAGGCAATAATAGACGAAGAGAGAAAGAGAAAAAGAGTAAGAGAGAAAAAGAGAGACACGCGGGTGAGAATGAATATCTCGCTTATCGAGGCGAATTTGCGCCGCATGAGATTTAAGACGCGATATCATTGAGCGTGATTAGCTTGGTAATTGTAATCGTAGCAGCTGCTCTCGTGTCTGACCGCATCGGCAAAAATGACGATTATAATCTAAACTTTATCGCACAAAAATCGGTAAGAGCGCAACGGATATTTGAACGAAAATCGATCTTGAAACGAGTGTCTATGGCTATGGGAAGAAGCAGTCTAGGATGACAGATAGGGAAATAACTTGGATATACAGGATTGAGGAGAATTCGTAGGACTCAACGAAATATCGAGTATATCCTTGCGGATCAGAGTATGCACCGTTCACAATGAGATCGGCCGAAAGCTCGTGTCTGCCGGCAAGGTTTTCCGCGACACACGTGTACGTTCCAGCATGGGTCGCCTGGACGGATCCTATGCTGAGTATGGCGCCACGTCCGCCCAAATCCACGATCGAGATTCCGGAGTGCGGCGAAATCGCATGACCGTTTAAGGTCCAACGGAGCTGCAAGGGTTGATCGCCCTCGACCACTGCGCACGGTACCGTTACTACTTGACCTGAATTAAGCGGCTCCTCGCCGAACGCGAATGGCAATAATTTCGGAATGACTGGAAGAGAGAAAGAGAAAAAAATCAGAAAAGGAAAGAAAGAGTCTTAAAGCCGCAGGCTACATCAGCACAGGCGGAGTTGCGCGATTATTAGATCGGCAATAAGAAGTTGTATTATCTCGCGAAATATCCTCGTTTCATTCGTCCTCTCTTCGTTTCTTCTTATTTCCGTTTCTTTTAAAGTCTGTGTGTTATGATGAACGTATTATTCTTGTATCAGGATGCACTTGTGCGTTTTTTTTTGTCACAGACTTGAAAAATTTATCATATTACAAAAACGCACAAATGTATCCCACTCTAATGCTGTATAATGTTTCGCGATCAATAATGAAATCAAAAGAATGAACAGGCGGGTATAACCAAAGAAATTGAGAAAAAATGTCATGTTTAATAACAACATTTGACTAAAATGACAGTGACGGGCTCTAGAAAACACAGACACGTCGTGCTACAACGTATATGAAAGGCGAAGATACGGAGAAACTCAGAGAGAAATAACGGCATGGGATAAAAGTATAAAACGGGAAAGAAGCCTCGAGAGACTCGTGAAAAAAATATCGGAGGGATGGATAAATCAGGTGAGGATAAATTCAGACAAAAGATGACTAAATACAGAAATGCAAACTGTGGCTTGTCGAAAGATGTACCATTCACGTTTAATATGGTTGAATAGGAAGTCGATCCAGCTGCGTTTGAAGCAACGCAGGTATATTCCCCGGCGTGTCGCGCAGCTACCGATTCGATGATCAGTTGTTTGACGCGCTTTCCAGTATCGGATACGATCACGTCGCCATGATAAGACTGTATAGGACGATTATCGAAGATCCACGTGATCTCCAGAGGAAAATCGCCTTTGGTTACTACGCATTGCACCGATACCAGATCTCCGGCATTAACGGGTTCTTCGCCGAAGGAGATCGGCGCTATCTGTGGAGAGACTGTGATACGAAAAAGAAGATAAAGTATATGATTCGAAAACGAAGGAAAAATCACGCATAATAAAATTCGAATACGTGTTTGGATTTTTTAGCCTTGAGAGTTCAAAAACGTGAGGAACGAACGAAAACGTTTTTGAGATTTTTGCATAAAGATATGAGAGGAATAAAATCGAAGGTTTTGGTTTTTCATGATGTGAATCGATATCCAAGGATCGATAGATTAAAATTTGTTATTGGAGAGGATAGATTTCGAAAACTTTGCGGGATAAAGTGCTGGCGGTGACACTACGTCTTGACATGCGGCTTTTTTTAAATATACCATTGACCGACAAAACGGCGGAACGGCTGACGGATCCGACCAGATTGCTCGCGACGCAGCTATATTCGCCAGCATGACGAGCAGTCACAGATTCAATGGTCAGGACGGATGTTTTTTTCCCGGTATTTGTGATTATCACGTCCGGATGATTGAGACGCGTAATAATTTCGTCATTGAGGCTCCACCGTATTTCGATTGGTAGATCACCCTTTAAAATGCTACACATTGCAGAAACTTGCTCGCCCCAATTAGCTGGTTCTTCACTGATAGAAAATGGAGCAATTTGCGGGGCGACTGAAAACAATCGCAGAAAATGATCAATATAGCGGTGTATAAAAAATATGTAAATTTTTCTTTTGTGTAGATCAATTGAAATCGTAGAATTTATAAATGCATCGTCGAGCAAACGTACTCCGCTTTCATCGCTTCCTTAATAATCTTAATAATCTTAGGTCGTGTCATTGCTGAACTTTCATATTTGTACGTTATCAATTGCCAATTATACCTCACGCGATGGGACGGTTTTAAAGGAATGCCGTGTTATTATTGTATACGCGAGGATAGGAGAACAGTTTCGTTTAGGTACATTATGCTTGCAAGCAGAATCTCAAGCTCAATCTCTCGATTGCAACGAGGCACTTCATTTCATGTCATGCCAGTACCGTTCACAGCCAAGGTGGCGGAGTAACTCGTCGCTCCGGCAGCATTCGAGGCTGTGCAAGTATACTCTCCGGCGTGTCTCGGACTCGCAGCCTCGATTGTCATTAGACTGACTCGTTTGCTGGTACTCGATATCGATATATCTCCGTAATTCTCCTTGGTGATAGCCTCGCCATTCAATGCCCACGCTACTTCGATCGGCAGGTCTCCCTTCACAACCGTACAAACCGACGAGACCGCTTCGCCCCAATTCGCGGGCTCGTCACTGATCGAGAACGGCGCTATCTGCGGAGCGACTGAAAACGGTTTTCCAAAATATGACAAACCTATTTACAAGATAAATCCATTGCGTTCGAACATTTGCGTACTATACGCGAAAAACCGTTGCAAAGGTGTCTATTATAGGGAGAATATTATATAGAAAAATTTTTCTAGTCGTGATCTAATTCACTATCATGATCTGTTTCATTATCATTTTATATTCTCTTACTAGTATATTTCTATCACCATATATGTTTTTCTTCATATAAATAATATAATAATTAATAGATTTTAATTCGAGAAAGATATAAAAATAGGTAAGTTCAGTGAGATAATTCATGATGTCGTTGCTTCGAGCTAACATAATAATGTGATAAGTGAGATGTACAACGTCCGCGAATGCGCGATAAGATCAAACAACAGACAAATGCGTCCTCACCATACTCCCCATACTCGACGAAGCACAAGGGAATATTGAAAAGATTATGAGTACTGATGAAGAAATTGAAGGAGATGTGGTGAAAAGGAAGGTTTTGTCTTCGCCCGGCGAAGGAAGAATAGTCGAAATGTCGTCGCGTATATAGATACACGTGAACACATGCGCGCGATGTTACCGTTCACGGCTAGAGCGGCCGTATGGCTGGAGGCTCCGGCTTTGTTCGACGCGGTGCAAGTATATTCGCCGGCGTGTCTAGCCGCGACAGCATCGATCGACAGGACGCTGAGGCGCTTGTTCTTCGTAATAGAGAACTGATCTGTACTTTCGACGGATATCGGCTCGCCGTTGAATGCCCAGGCAATGTCCATCGGGAAGTCCCCCTTGAGAATGGAACAGGTCGCAGAGATCGCCTCGCCCGAGTTTATCGGCTCGTCGCCGAATGTGAACGGGAATATCTGCGGAGCAACTGCGATCGCGAATCGCGCTTGAGAATCGATAAATAACATCCACGTGTCAGTAAAATCTCCTCACGATTCTTACAGTCTTTTTATGATCCTCGTGAAACGGTCGTCGGCAAGCGATAACAATTTACGGCGATTATAGGAACAAGGGTATCGTATCATGAGATTAAGACAATGCAATGAGGCAGGTTTTAATGATCTATGAATCGCAATGATGGATTAGGCAAGTGCTATACGACGTTTAGCTGACGTGCATGTGTGTTTGGAAATATGTAGATACCATTGACGACGAGGATGGTCGAATGGCTGACGTTGCCGGCTCTGTTCGTAGCTACACACGTGTACTCGCCTGCATGCCTCGCGGCCACGGATTCGATGCTGAGAGCACTCATATGTTTATTTATGTTCGTGATCGTAATATCAGAATCATGCAAACTAATCGGTTTGCCGTTAAATGTCCAAACAATCTTTACGGGAAAATCGCCTTTCATAATGGAACACGTCGCCGAAACCATGTCACCCCAATTCGCCGGTCCGTCACTGATCGCGAAAGGCCCTATGTGCGGCGCAACTATAATATTATAATATTATAATAAATCAGAGATTCATGTTAAATTTAATTTTATCCAAAGTAATATAAAGAACAAATATTGGATTTATAATAATTAAATAGCAGCTTGGAAGCATCATAATTTTGTTTGTAGAATCAATCCTTTCAACGACGCGTTTGAATTATTCCGAATATTTGCTAAAATAGAAGAAATTAAAGGATTATCGACGAGATTTTTCAGTATCATTGATAATATTTTTTTTCCGAGCTTCCGAAAGAAAGGAATTGAAGGAAATCGGGAATGATGAATCGCTCTGCACATGCACGATAAGACGAAGTGAGAAAAACTACGCGAAACACAAGACGTGGGAGACCTTTATACCATTCACGGCCAGTGATGCGGAATAACTCGTTCCACCAGCAACGTTGCTAGCCGTGCAGGTGTATTCCCCGGCATGGCGTGCCGTCACGGCATCGATTGTAAGCAGGCTGACGCGCTTGCTGGTACTAACTATTGATATGTCGGGATGATCTCGAGAAATTGGCTCGCCGTTGTGTGCCCATTCGATCTGGATCGGGTGATCGCCCTTCAACACCGTGCAAGTTACAGTGATGGTGTCACCCCAATTCGCCGGTTCCTCGCCGATCACAAATGGCATGATTTCAGGGGCAACTAAGGATATGTCTTAATTATAGCCCTATTCTACTTTCGTCAAACTTACGGTTCTCGCCAAATGTTTATATAATATCATATTGCACCTAAACTTAATATAATTGTAATATAGACAAGATCTATATGTATATTTAAATCTCTTTCTTCGTTTTCTGATATCTGATATGAGTATAGCCTGTCTCTTTTTAAATCTGAGAACGCGAAGGAACATAAGGACCTCTTGGGAATGAATGTGTAAATAGTATTAATGTCAAGCTATATACGTGGAAGATTCATACATGCACTGTAGAATTAATAAAAACTTCGAAGAACGTAATATGGTACCATTGACAGCTAAGGAAGCGGAATAGCTTGTTCCACCGGCAGCGTTAGTGGCTACACAAGTGTACTCTCCGGCGTGGCTAGCCGTAACAGCGTCGATCGTAAGTAGGCTGACGCGTTTGCTTGTGACAATTGTTATATCAGAAACATCATGAGAAATCGGCTGGCCGTTGAGCGCCCACTCGATCTGAATCGGTTGATCTCCTTTCAAAATGGTGCATGTCGCAGTGACTGTCTCTCCCCAATTTGCTGGTTTCTCACTGAGAACGAAAGGAGCTATGTCCGGAGCAACTAAAGTGGACAAATGATCGATCGTGTAGCAACCAATCTACTACAAGTTGATGATATAATACTGACAAGTATAAGTACAGTAATACATGTCTTTTACGATCCGACAAAGATCATGATTGACCATCGACGATGATTTTGAGAGGAGCGGGAAGGGGAAGAGTAATGATGACAAATAATGGAAAATGATGGGATATAGAGGACAAATACAGGAAATCTCTCAGACAAGATATACCATTCACAGTTAAAGTCGCTGAATAACTGGTCGCTCCGGCTTTATTCGACGCCGAACACGTGTATTCTCCTGCGTGTCTCGCAGCCACGGACTCGATGCTGAGGATGCTATTCTTCCGAGTTGTCGCCAAGATATTAATGTCCGAACGTTCTGGCCGAATCGGCTCACCGTTCAAGGCCCACGTAATCTCGATCGGTAAATCGCCCTTGAGAATGGCGCATACCACGGAAATGGAATCGCCCCAATTCGCTGGTTCCTCGGCGATATCGAACGGTGCAATTTGCGGTGCAACTGCAACGGATATTACGTGTTTTTTCCCCTCTTTTTTTCTCTATATAAATTAGTCAGTCTTCTTGACAATTACTTGAAATAGCAACGCTAGAAAAAGATTTGAAGACGAAGAAGAAATGAATAGAGCTGTTAGAATAGCTATCGGTCTTTTTCCATTAAATGTCCAAATACACACGCGAATTTCGATCAGGAAGAAAAGGGCGAGGAGAGTAGGAGGGAAAAACGAATCCAGAGATCAACATTCTTTTCGAACGATTGTCGTAGGTACCGTTGACTGTCAACTCCGCGGAATAAGTGATTGCGCCGGCAGCATTGGAGGCAACGCAAGTGTAAGTGCCCGCATGACTAGGACTCGCAGAATCTATAGACAGCAGGCTGTTCCTCTTGGTAGTAGTCACGGATATTCGATGATTCTCCTCGATAAGCATTCCATTCAACGCCCACGTGATCTCTAACGGGGTATCCCCGTTAACCACCGTACAAACCGCCGATACAGAATCACCCCAATTAACCGCTTTGTCGGCCATTTCGAAGGGTGCGATTCGCGGCGGTACTGTCAAGATCATAGAAAAACTACGTAACATTGAACCAGTATAAAAAAATAACTCGTGAAAAATTATCAATTGTGATCTTTCACGATTCTTTCTTAAGATGCAATGATTTTATAGAAAGTTCAGTCATGTAAAGAAACTCAACAAAAAATATCATTGATATTTTCAACTACGCGATTATTATTAATTATATCTTGAAGCTGCGGCGCATTTACTGTACACGCAATTTTTTCTAAGTGCCACAAAGCGTTAAGAGAAGCATAACTCGATATTACGTGCGTCCAACCAACCACCCAACCGTCATTGATTCAAACTGATCAAGCGTACCGTTCACCGAAAGAACCGAAGAGTGGGTAGCAGTTCCGGCCGTGTTGCTCGCAGTGCACGAATACTCGCCCGCGTGTCTTGCGGCTACCGATTCAATCGTCAGTTGGCTGGCTCGTTTGCTACTTCTGCTTATCACTATGTCAGGATTGTAATTGTGCTCGTCGAATGCGCCATTTGCGATGTCGATCACACGCTCGTTAAATGACCAAATTATGTCGATTGGCAGGTCGCCTTTTATCACAGCACATTGAACAGTCGCCATCTCTCCCGCATTGGCAGCTTCATCACCAAAAGTAAAAGGTGCCAATTGCGGTGCAACTGTAACCGCGAAGGGCACACTCGTGAATCACACGTAGAAGCTTCTGGAGTGGCGCCCGAACACTCGCAGTAAGATTACGGGAAATATTATCGAATCACAAACTCAGAATCAAATTAGATGACTCATAAAATAGCACCTTTGAATCTTCAGAGGATAGATCGGGGAAGGATAAGGAATAATATTTCAATAGAGAACATCGAACAATATTGTAATGATATACATTATAAAGCGATACAGGAAAAGGTTTTCAAATAAAATTAAAACAAGAATAAAGGAAAAGATTCAACAAGAGTAAAGGGAAATGAAATAAGAACAAAATAAAGGGAAAAAAATATACAAGGACCATCGTTTCGCTGTCACTGCGGGATGGACCGTACGTTGTCGTCTGTGACGATAATCTCGCTGCTAGAAGTACATTACGCAGGATTATCGTCTCGACAATAACAGTGAGCGCGAAGAACGGTAATTACTCAATTGATATATTATTGCAGAAATAGAAGAAGTTACAAAAGGATAATAAAACTGTACGTGTACAGGACATATGTATATGTAAGGCAATGCGTTTCTTTTTACATATACGAGCGCGATACCGTTCACCGAAAGTATAGCGATGTGACTGTCGGATCCGGCAGCATTGGTCGCAGTACATTTGTATCTTCCAGCATGTCTCGCCGCCACGCTGTCGATGCTCAAGAAGCTGACTCTCTTATTGGTCACAATACTAACATCCGGCCGACTCGAGTTGATTGGGATGTCGTCGAAGGTCCACATCAATTTTACAGGGAAGTCACCTTTGACGATTGTGCAAGAAACCGACAGCATCTCGCCGGAGTTGAGAGGATCGTCACCGAAGGAAAACTGAAGGATCTGTGGCGCGACTGCGTGAACGACAGCGGCACAAACGAAGGAGTATAATGACAGACAAAGGAGGGTATAATAAGAAAAAGTATAACAGTGATCGGTGTTGGGATAAAATATATGTACGAGTGAATGATAAATGAGTCAAAAATTTTCTTGCACTTTTTTTATCAATATAATAAAAGAGGAAAAAATTAATAAAATGTTAATATTATGATATTGTTAATAAATTCATAACAGGAAATAATAATTAGTAATTAATAGTGTAAAAAAAGTTGCGTATTTGTGTTCATAAATGTTAAGTATTCAGTGATCAGCTACGATAATTCGAAGAAAAACGAGGAAAATGCATAACAGACGGGAAGCGCATTCATTTCTTCTGTGAGAATCGATTGCATATACCGTTTACAGCCAGATGAGCCGTATATGTCGTGGCACCAACGCGATTGGACGCAGTACAGGTATAATCGCCAGCGTGTCGAGCCGCGACCGATTCGATAGTTAAGACACTGTTTTTTCGATTCGTGCTGGCTACTACTACATCAGAATCGCGATTGTCGATTGGCGTTCCGTTAAAAGTCCAAGTTATTTCAATAGGCTGATCACCCTTCGTGACAGAGCAGGTGATTGAGACCAGTTCGCCCCAGCTGGCCGGCTCATCCCCGAAAGCGAAAGGTAGTATTTGCGGGGCAACTGGAAAGAGTGACTGGGAGAAACGAGACAAAAAAGCAAGTGTCGGTTCGTGATGCGGCGCATTTCCTATTGCGTAATTCGGAGACATTTTTACATATATCGATTATGACGTTCGTTTCAGTCAAGTGCGATATGGACTGCTAGATAAGGTTGGTATGGCGGTGGAATATGTACCTTGTTTTATTACAAGAAATCTTTTGGAAGAGGTCTTTGAGGATAGTGGGTTCGGGAAAATTTGAGGTTCGTGATAGTTATTATGTACTGTAAATCTATTGTATCGGAAACCGTGCCGAGGGAATTAGGGTCGTACCATTGACGATCAAAGTTGTCGATCGACTGACGGAACCAGCTAAATTTGACGCGGAGCAGGCATACTCTCCGGCATGGCGCGCCGAGACGCCGTCGATGCTGAGGGTGCTCAAGTGCTTGCTGATTCTGGTGATCGTGATACCCGTATCTTTTGACGTGTCGATCGATACGCCATCGAACGACCACGATATATCCATGGGCATGTCACCCTTTAGGATCGAGCAGGGCACGGACACGGAGTCTCCCCAATTGGCGATCTCGGCATTGAAAGCGATTGGTAGAAGCTGCGGTCCGACTAAGGTTTGGTCAAACAATTCATGCTTCATTACCGAAAAAGATGCAACGGCGTCTGCGAATGATTCTCGGTGATTCTAACAAACACCTATGCGTTAGCCAACTACCCGATCTCATTAAAGCTTTCAGAGGATTCAAGTAGGCAGAGGATTCAACAACATTGACGCGAAGGAAGCGTGACAAACGAGGGAATAACTATGGTGCTGTTTGCAAGGTCTGTGCAAGGGACAAGATAGAAGGTGATAAAACGCAACTGAAGAATGATAAAGACTGTGTTCTTTAGGAACAAATAATCCCGAACCATTGACGGTGAGGACGGTCGAGTAGGACGCCGTTCCAGCCGCATTTTCGGCGGTACAAACGTACTCCCCCGCATGTCTCGCGGTGATGACTGAGATCATGAGCATGCTAACGCGATCCGCGACCTTCTTTGCGAGTACGCCGGAGGAGCCGCCCATCTCTTCTCCGGGATAGCTCCAACGTATGTTCAACGGCAGGTCACCGCTTGACACGATACACTGCAGATTTGCAAATTCCCCGGCATTCATCGGTAGCTTCGTGAACGCAAACTCTTGAACGATCGGTGGCACTGAAGATGGAGGAGCGATGTATGGATGTATACGATTATGTGCGTCCCGCGTCAATGTGCCACGCTCGTGGATATCATAAACACGTTACATTCAATCTCGAATTGCAGCGGGAATATTCGGATTGTGCGACAATTCAAGATGTTCTTTCTTAATTACTAGAACGCTGAAGTTTGATTTTGTCTTAGGTATGTGAATTCAATATGTGCTGCGGAAAAACTTAGTATCTTATCTCATTGTCAGCATGAAACAATGCCTATAACACGCACGAATGCGTGGCATTTGTTGCTACGCGAGACGGTTGCGCAATGGGAGAAGAGAGATCTGAATTGAAAACAAGTGCAACATTTTCTTACTAACGATTTAATCGGCCACCGCCATACCAACTCCCAGACTTTCCACAAATGTATGTCCTCTCTGTAGATGTACGTTTGCTCTACGTTTATTAAATGATTTTATTAAATGATCGGTCCACTAAATGCAATTTCTGAATCCGTGCCCGTGTCCTACAATCGCACCCTTTAAAGTCTACGACACGTTCCCTATGCGTGAACAACATCCTCAATAAACAATTTGCCTCTGGCTCAGTACCATAATCAATACGAAACGGTGCGATGTAACAAAGTATATTGATGATTTCGTAACAGACACGAAAATCTGTTGTAAAGAGAATAGCTGCAAATAAACGTTTGCTATCCTAATATTATTATAGTTAATACATTTATCTCGTTGATCGGTCGGTTTGTTGGCCGATGACTGAAAATATAAATATACCCTTTGTTTTCGAAATTATTTAGGAGACAGATTATTTTAATCGATAAACAATTAATTGCTAAACAGAACATTAATTGTTCTGTGCATATTAATTATTGTATATATTATTTATGCTAAATGTATTTAAGATTATAATATTAATGATAGAATAAATTTCTATTTAATTTATGAATATTCTGTTACATTTAAATATTCCACCTTAATATTAAATAAATATTTCATTAAAACTCAATTCTCTTAATAAGTTCCGTGCCGCGTGGATCATTGGTGACATACGCTACACTTTCCATTCAGGTCGGAAGATATTTTGGAAAATAGAGATGAAAAAATTAATTTTTTTTATTTTAGAGAAAAGCATCAAATAAAAAATAGGTTTCGTAACCAAAATGGTACAGAATTCATGAAAAATATCTAGAATTTATGTTAAATATAAAAATAATATAGAGTTCGTTAATTTTATTTCACAAATTTAGAGATATGGTAGTGTCTCGGCATTAAAATAAGCGCAGCGATACTATAGGGTGTGTCATCAAAATCTGGACAAATCGAACGATTTCTTTAAACAAAATGTTTATAATGAAAAATTAAATATTACAAAAAATCCTTTCATCCATGGCACTTGGGCAATCCCCATAGAACACAATTATTTGATATATCCCCCATTAGCTTGAATGACGGCCTCTATTTTCGGTTCTGAAGCGTTCGCACGCACGTTGTAATGTAACGCTGTCCATGCCGACGAATGCTGCCTCAATAGCAGTCCTTAATGACGTCATATTGGGATGCCAAGACTTGTTTGTGATTCTTTCAACTACGCTTCATACGTAGTAATCCAAGAGATTTAAATTCTGGGCTGTTGGGAGGCCAGAATGGGAACCGAGGCGAACAACTTGGCTTGTCCTGGCAGCCTCAGAGAGCATTTGTCGTATCTTTAATATGTATGATTTGTATCGAAGGTCCTCCTCGGCAATTCGACGGATTGTTAGCTCGCTTACACCAACAATCGATGCTAATTTTCACAACAATTGCTCTGAGTCATCTGAAATCGAACTCTTTTAATGATTGTAGGAATCTTCGCGGTGTATTCTTTTGAGTAACTCTTCCCCGCTGGCATACTAGAATCTTGGACTGTTCTAAAGCCGTATATTTTGCCACAATGTCATAAACGGTTGATCTCGGGTATCCAAAGAACCGAATTATTTCCGTTGCTGAGCGCCCAGCGCGAATTATACTCCGCACTTGGTTTCGCTGCCATTTTGAGATTTTGACTGTTTACTAGAAGCATCAGGCTTTCTCGGACGCTAACAACCTCTGGCAGAGGCACAATATAGTGGAAAATTTAAATTGAAATGTATCCAAATTTTGGTGACGCATCCTGTAACCGCGTGGTAATAATTATGTCGCGTAGGTCATCGACATGATGATATGATAAATAAATTTGATTCGGCACGGAACGTATTAAATGTTAATCATTCTTTTACTTTTAAGATATTATTTTATATGAACAAAAAATATTTATATGAAATTGAAATATTATACTCGAAGAAAAATATTAGGAAAACAAAATGTCAAACTTACCCATGACTTGAACTTCCAGTGTTCCACGTGCGCTGTAACCTTGTGCATTACGTGCCACGCAAGTATAGGTTGCCTGGTCGCTCATTCGTTCAACATTTTCGATGATGAGTGTGCCATTAGGGAAGACCTTTTGTTTTCTGTTGATTGGCAGGACCCTGGTATCTCGTTCCCAAACGATACTTTCGATCGGGTATCCAGCAACAGGACAAGTGACACGCAAAGTTTCTCCAGCAACGATAGCCTTCTTGTCCATATGACGAATAAACGGCAAACCATAAACGTTGAGACGGGCAGAATGCTCGGCAGCTCCAACCTGACAGAATTAAACATTGCACAAATATTTTAGAATATCCACGAAGGATTTAAATAAAAAATTATACAGGTGTCCGATAAAGATCGTAATAACGCTTAAAATTAGATTCCTGAGATCATTTTAAAACAAAAATTATAATATCAAGGGGGGTTATAATAATTTTTAAATTATAAGCATTTAAAGTTATCGAATCATACCGCCTAAAATTCGAGCGTTCAGATGTGATACAATGGAAAATCCAACCATACTTAAGCGCACGAATTTTATTCGGTATAATTCGCTAACTTTAAATGCTTATACAATAATTCAAAAACTATTACAGCCTCGATATTAAAATTTTCATTTCAAAATGATCTCAGGAATTAAGCGTTGTTATAGACTTTACAGACGGATCCCTGTATATAAGACATATACAGATCATAAAACACAATGTTTTACATCCAATGAAAAGTAAATTAAAAATAGATTTATTAAAAAATAATATTTATTTTTATAATAATTTTAATATATTATTAATTTTCTTTTGACTTTTATTTATTTATCGTGTCTTTTCTAATACATCATTGAGGATGTTTTATGTACCTATAATTGCATTATTATTATACATATATTTATTTATTAATGATTGATAAACAAAATTTAAATAAAATAAGTCTACATATTTTTATATAAAAAAATTTAATAAAAAAATCAAGAGAATCACCTTTGACGCAGCGATGCACTTGTAGAGACCACCATCATTGGTATGAATGCTCGAAATATTCAGATGCGACACGACATCACCATTGACCGTGACGTATTGTCCCACTTGCAGTCTCTCGGTGTTCGACAACCGTTTTCCATCAAGTTCCCAGGTAATTTCGGGGGTAGGATTCCCGCTGGCAACGCACTTCAAAAACATACTCGGTCCGGGTTGAAGAGTCTCTTCGGCGAAGGCTTGACGGATCTGCGGGGGCTCGACTGTCGATAATCAAAGAGATGAAAAGATAATTCTGTTGACAATCATAGCGTTATCTTTTGTTTTTGCGGCATCAATTTTTCTAATTAACGATTTCATATTCAAATATCACTTCAACAAAATTATTTTAAAAAATATTTTATTAATACATAATATATTCATGAAAATTTTTTACCTTACAAAATTATTATCAAAATTTTTAATTGAATTAATCACACTAAGAAAAATTTCTTCTATAAAGGTTAAAGATTAATGAACCAGAAGATTCTGATTATATTAATCAGAATTCCGATAACTCAACTAGAATTATAATAGAATTATAATAGATAGAAATTCAATCGGAAAAGTCTAATTTATGCATTTTTAACTAGTTTCGATTAATGCAACTAGATTCTTTTCCCAACAAATATAGTAAATCAGTTTACATACAAAATTGCCATTACTGTAATTAGTAAAAATGTTTATTACTAATTTAATTACACCATTGGAAGAAAGTAGAATAAAATTTTAACTTACATCTGCCACCAAGTTTTAACTCTGCTGTTGCTTGTGCACTTTCCTGATCATTTCTAACGAAACATTGGTACATTCCCTTATCCTCTTTTTTCACACTCTCGATTCTCAGCACGCGATCTTCCAATCCAAGGGGCTTTCCATCTTTAAGCCAGGAGATGGTCTTGATCGGGTTGCCTTGGACAGTACAAGTGAAGGTCGCTGGTCTTCCAAAATCGATGGTCTGCGTGCTAGGCTCGATTTCCGCGGTCAGCGGTGCCGTAACAGTCAAAACAGTCTCCACACTTTCGCCGCCGACGGAATTGTTGACGATGCAAAGATATTTACCGGAATCTTCGACTCGGGCTTCACGGATGATCAGAGTGCCGCTGACCTGACGTACGCGCTCATTTAGTTGAACCGGCTGACGCCTCGATGTGCCCTCAATGAACTTGTACCATCTGGAACAAGAAAATAAAAACTACCGATTTTCGCATCAATGCCGGAACGAGAATTGTTCGTTCCGTATCTTTATTTGCTTGCATAAATCAAAATTTACATCGCAAAATGGAACAAGAATATCAGTTAATTTTATAAATTTAATTCTTAATAAATTTTATTTTTTATGTGAATAATAAATTTTATTTATTTTTTATGGGAATGACTTATGAACTAAATTCTTTATAGAAGAATATTTTCTTATTATTTTTATTATAATATATAATATTATAATATTTCTATTATAACGCGTACAGCTTACACAAAACTCTAATGGGAGAATGAGATATGTACAAGACTGTGAACTTTTTATAAATCCATAACGCGAATAATATTATTTGTTCCATTCTACGCTATTGTGCCTTAAATTCTATATGCAGGGCTTTGGGCGTCTCTGGGCACGGCCTTCCGTTTCTCCACCGATCGGTGTCACATCTTTTTCGCGAAATAATTTTATACAAGAACAAAATCACAATTCAAGAATAAAACAAGATGTTTCTACTGTAGCCTCACGATCGAGAAGCAATGCAGGCGGGGGCGCAACAGAAGAATAAAGACGACAATAGATTAATAAAAGCAAAAGAGAATACGTAAAAAAGTATTCACATGTCAATTCTTGCCGCGATAAAATCCCTGAGGAAGAAGGTGAGGGGCGATTGTGTGCAGTGTGAAAGCAACGAACGATTATATACTCGATTTTCGTGATATTCACAACGGCACTCGTCACTGATTAGCTTAGGCAAGGAGAATATAAAAAAGAAACGCCAAATCCAGAATAAAATGATGTACTCAAGCGATCGCAATAGCGGTTTTTTGACGTGTTTGTTGTAGGCGGGTGCTAGTGCAAAGAATCTTTCATATTTTTCTATGTAAGCAACAATATCTCTCACACAATACATCGCGATACAAAATCATTTAAAAATTCGTCCTCTAGCATTGATTAACCAATTCTAGGACTGTAAATAGAATTTGTGAGATATTGTCGAATGTACAATCACAAATGATGGCGGATAGTGGAAGGCGATCGGGCAAGGAACAAAAATAGTAGTGATGAATTGGCGGTACGTTTAATGGCGATGGTGCAATTGGACGACGTGAAAAAAATGTTAAGATTCGATTCTCCTCAGTCACTCACACACGCCCAATGTGTACATGAATGAGCGATCCACTTCTTTACCTTTTCTTTTGAACGAGTGAGAGAGAGAGAGGATGGGGAATGAATTAATACGAGCGGATGAACGGAGGCACGAGAAGGTGGCAAGGACTTACCAGCCAAATATTGTGGGACTTATTTGGAGGTGTGCAGGTGTAGGGCAACATTGACCACCCCATTGATCGGGTGATATCCTCTCGGACCACCCGGATCAGCACCGAGGATACTGGGAGAGCAGAGAGCCCGCATCCTTTTCGAGGTCGCGCTTCCGTCACCTATCTCGAGGGTTGAGGGGAGGATCCAGTTGGCACTGAAAACCAACACGTCCAATTGGCCCCGGATCAGGGATATACATTTCGTCATTAGCACTATTGTTTGTGACTCATGTAATATCGCGTTTAGTTTACATTCGAAATTAAAAGGCCATCGAAATTATTAAATCATCGCATGAAAATCGAGAGCATCAGTCATTTTCAGCACCTTTCCAAGCTCTGCTCTAATTTATGCTCTCTCTCGTTCTCTTCCCCTCTCCTCCTTCTTCTCTATATCTTTGCACTCTTTCTCTTATATTCTGCACCGAATCTTAAAAATAATTAAAATACTTTTACATTTCTTCTCTGGATTTCAATATTATCCTATCTCTGTATTAAAAAATCGTGTCCTTTCTTCTTGCCCCTGTCAAATCTTACGGTACCGCCACCCGACACGGGGTAGAGGGTAAGGATGGAAAATATTAATAGTGACTTCAGGATCTGTGCCCCGCGGAGCGTGAGACTACATCCAAATCAGAGAGCAAAAAAGATCTGTACGGAGGTGTGTACCTAGTAATCGGGGCAGGAAAGCCTTGTGCCGCACACGCCAGCGCCAGAGACTCGCCCTCTACCCCGCGGTACTTATTAAGGCCGTCACCAGTCGTCTTCGGGGCAGTACGACCAGACGGCTCTGAAATAAATAGATTGCCCAAAGTGTGTGAGAGCTTCGTCTCTTGATAATGTTTCGGATCCATTCTATTTTTTAATTGAACTGCGGAACCGGTACGCGACGTTTTGAATTTTAAGCGACTAACAGTTTTATACATACCCTATCGCCTTCGCGTTCGACCTGGCTTAAGTCGACAGAATTTTAGCATGCAATCTACTCACCTGACTATGATGCCAATCTTGCCAGATGGTGAATCGATTTTGAATGCAATATTGTAGTAAGTTTACCTCTGATTATTTACTGCGTGACGCTCACATTTAATTATATAACGTAACGACAGAAAATGTTTTAAAGTTTATATTGCATTTTATTATTCTGTTACTATATACAGAATGATCCAGATCATTCGCAAGAGCCGGAATATACATATGTATATTCCTCATGAAAAAGTGAATCGAGAGTGTCAACAGCAAAATGTTGTAATATCAATAATTCTTAAATGATGAAAATGTCCACAGGACATAAAGTTTGAGCGAATGCTTTGACGGATATCGTTAAACGGCACGATATCGCTTAATTGCGCCGCATCCGATTCGCGAACTTCATGCCCTGTAGTTGGACATTCTCAAAGTTTAAAAACTATTGATATTATATTTTCATAATATTGACATTTTCGATTCACTTTTTCACACACACACACACACACACACACACACACACACACACACACAAATTCAAGCGTCACACGGTAAAAGTTTGACATAAACTCGCTGTTAGTTTGGATATTTATCCGTTAAACACAATAAAATATAAGAATAACAATGTTATAATTTCCTACTCAATAATATAATGCACATGTGCTATGTTACATATTATTATATTATATTATATTTTATTTTAAGTGGGAAACTATATATAATATTGATGTAACGTTACTGTCATTTTATGTTTAACGGATATTCCGAATTTACAAAATTGTTGATGCCTTAAATTGATTAAATATGCACTATGCCTATCTGTAATTTCCTATAGCTCATCGAGAGCATCTCACATGAACATATTTTATTTCAATAATCTATAGAACGTGATTTGCTTCATTGACGACGACGATGAAGAATAGAGAAAAAAATAGATTATACAAATTCGCCCGCGTGGAAGAAGACGTCCAAAGTCTACCTTGTGAGAGGCACAGGGTATCCCTGAAGCGAATGACTCAATGCAATATCCTGACCTTCAACAGCCAGAATAACTTCGAATCCGAACTTCTTGCCTGATGATCGTGGCGCGATTTTATTTGTGCCCTCTGAAATAGTATCGTAAAGAAAATACAGGAAGGAAGATATTGCAGCGATTTTTGCCAATGTACCTTGTAAATGGGACAGGAAAACCCTGAGTGGCGCATTCCAAAGCCGCCATACCCGCCTTTGATACATCTATCAATTTGCCACCTTCGTAACGTTCACCGGCAATGCGTGGCGCAACATTGCTGGTTGGTTCTATAAGCAGGGAATCGGAGTGCAAGAACACGAACAAGCAGAAGGCATATCTCATTTCTTCAATTGGACCTTCCGCAATTGTATCGCAATTAAAAATGAGATATACAAACGTTATTTTGAAATTGTCTGATATGCGATTCTCATTCGCATTGCAATTTGTCAATCGACCTGTAAATGCCTGTACCTGAATGCAGGTGCTGGGAAACCCTGAACAGGACAAGGTAGGCCAACCGTCTGTCCGATTAGGATGTCCCTTCTTAATCCGTTCACATCCTTGTCTCGTACATTCGGACGTACACTGCCTCGCGGTTCTGCAATTGCGCAAACATTGGGGAAACTGGGGAACGCGACGCCACCATAATCATCATCATCATTCGTCATCATCGTCGTCGTCGTTATCAAATGTATTGTTGACGCACGGCAAGCAGAATGCGGGTTTGCGGACGGTAAAATGTGAAGATAACGATTGATAACTGCATTTCACATTCTCAAGAACTGCACTTACAACGTCATATTTTAAACATATTTTTTTAATCAATTTTATTAAAATTTCATACAATTATTAATAAATTTGAAAAAATTTAAATAATTTTATATGTATAAATTATGATAATTCAGTGACGATTTTTGTTAAATTGTTCGAACAGGCTCACCTGAATAAAGGCGACGGGCTGGCTTGAGCCTCGCAAAGCAACGTCACTGCATGACCCTCGTTTTTCATCATTTCATCAAATTTAGATCTAGGTGGCAATCGAGGCGGACTACTTCCAACCGGTTCTAAAAACGAAAAGGGCGGAAGGTTCACCTACCACGAAATCAATCGATATCTTCACTTCAAA